CCTTTCTCGCCCGTCAGGCAGTGCCAGGCGGTCGTGCGGTGCCTCGCCCGCGAGGTGGAGAAGGGAGGGGACTGAAAAAGAATACGCCGTATCACGGGGGTGGATTCTCATTACGAACCACAAACGAGCCGTCTGCTGTTTAGTCAGTTTATTCCTCATTTAAGCGGAAAGCGCGCGCGTGTTTGAAAAAGAAACACGCCCCGGCGCGCCCCGCACGCAAGCGGCAAAAACAACAACAACATCAAACATCAACAACAGCGGCGGCGGCGCAGCACGCAGTATTTCCTTAATTTTAAATTACGTCCTGCTTCCTTGCCTCGCCTTTTTATTTCTTTTTATTTCCGTTCCCTTGGATTGCTCCGTGTCGCTTGTGTACCACTGTTGTGTGTATATGGAAGGGATGAGCCGAGCGGCGCGCGAAAAAGTTTGTCCTGTAGTTCAAATGTGTGGCGGGCTGGGCGGCCGCTGCCGCTGCGACATCACACAATTCGCCGCGGAATGAATGGGGTCATTAATCCAATAAAGCTAAGCGGGAGAGAGGGAGAGGAGGGAGAGAGAGAGAGAGAGAGAGAGAGAGAGAGGCGAAGGGGGATTCGCATCGTGTCGCTCGAAATGGACAGCAGAGCGGCGCGGCCCGACCCGCCCAGCGCGACATAAAGCCGGTAAAAATAAAATAGGAAAAGATTGTACAGTCATCTGGACAGAACGGGCAAAAAAAGGAAACACACAGAAAAAAAAGAAAACGAAAAGAGTACTGCAATAAGAGATTTCCCTGGAAATCATGATGAAATTGGGGGCGGATAAACAAAAAAGTGAAATCAGTTTTCCTTTAGGGTGCGCACGACCCCGCGAGCACGGCAAGTCGTCATCACATCACCGGTGTGTGCCGTGCTGGGGCGGCTGGAGCGGCTGGGGCGCGCGGAGAGTGTTGTTGGCTAAAATGCCGCACACGCCGCTCTATGCAAATTGTCTTGGTGCGCTGGGCGTGGCGGGGCGGGGCCCCCATGGGCTGCTATATGCAGTGCGTTGTGTGTCCCCCGCCCGATGAGGGGGATTGTATGTCTGTTTGGCGAGGGGGCGCCGCGGGGCCGGGGGGAGACAACAACGCCAGTGCGTTTTCATTGGCAGAGATTACTGCCTTGTTAATTAGAGTGTCGCTGTGAGCAGACGGCAGCAAAAGTTTTGGTGTAGTGTAGTACACTAGTACAAGTACTACCGTACCGTCGATGTTGTAAAACTTCTGGCCTAGTTTATTTTTTTCTTCTCCCTTTTTGGCTGCAGCAGCCAGCCTGGCTGTGTGGGCACCGCGCCCCGCCACCTCCCCCCCTGAGGTTTACTCTCTTCAGCCCGCCCACTCGTCTGTGTTAAGTGGAGTTGTTCGAGGTTAGGTGCGGAGGCGGGGTATGGTGAGGCTGGGCGGGGCGGGCGATTGTGTTGGTCGTCTGCTCACGTGTGGCGGATCGGTGGCGGCCGCCCCGTCCCGTCCCGCCAAAGTTAAATTTGAGTAATAGTGGGATCTCTCTTGCCGCCAAGTTTATCATCGGCCCGGGCTGGCTGCTCGGCGTGTTGGCAAAGTCAAATATTTTGGCGAGAGGCGAGGCTTTCCGTCCCGAAGTACTTGGGCGCACGGCGACGGATAGTTTGGCACTCCTGGCGGTGAAAAATATTTTCTAGACACGCGCGCGGCTCTCTACATTTCTTCTATGACTGTATGGAAAAGAGGGAAAACTTTCTACGATGTGTGTCGTAAAATTGCAATTTGAGATTGAAAATTGATAAGTAGTTCGTATCGACTTGGAATCAACAAGAACGCGCAGTCGCAAAAGCTGTAAATAAAAATTACAACAAATGCACTGGTGAAAAAAAGGTGCCTTGCCTGGGGGGCACCATACACATTTTCAACTTAGTGCCTCACAAAGGCAAAAAACAGGGCACTAACTTGTCCTAAAGGTGCTAAAAATCAGTGCCTTGCTGTAGTTTTAGCGCCTATGTAAAGGCATTAAATCCTTGGTGCCTTTTAAAGGTTTGAAGGCCTTTGTTTTTTCAGTGTGCTGTAAATTGACGATGACATTTTTACAGTCAGATCAGGTGACCTTTACTCATGAGTGTTGTTGCTGCTGTTTCAGAGAGGTGCTGTCCAACGGAAGCCTCCACTTCCCGGCGTTCCCCGGCGAACTGTACTCATCGGAGGCGCACGCGGCAGCCTACCGCTGCGCCGCCTCCAACGCGGCCGGCACCATCCTCAGCAGGGAGATGCGGGTCAGGGCGGGTGAGTACGAGAAAAGTGTGGTCAGAGATTAGTCAATAATGCTATCTCTCATAACGTCTGATAGGTAGGCAACATCTTTGCCTACTCTGCATTAGTGTACTGTGTATTGCGTGGTGGCCTACCCTGAGTTGTGCGGGCATCGAGCCCCTGTTGTATCAATATCCAGAATGAATTAGACTATAACGGACGTCGTTTTTGACAATCACTCAGAAGACCTACAGGTTCCAGGGCCGGGCCACACTTGATTTTTTTCTTTGCACTGCTAAGCATAAAGAAGATTACGACGTAGGAAATTGTAATCTCAAGACGTAGATGGTAAAGTATTTCCATTATTAGTATAGGAAGTAACTGCCAAAAGTGACGACTCGATTCTGTTATGGTTAGAGTGCAAACAACTCTGTAGTCTGTAGTGTGTAAACAAAAAAAGTCCTTCCGAGGGTGCTAGTGTTCTTTGTGTGGAGCTGGTGGAGCTCTTGAAATCATTTTAAAGTAAAACTTTGTATTGTTTTGTGCTTTTGATCATGGTTTGGAACAACGTTTTCAGGTTATTTCCTGTAACTGTGAGTGTAGGCAATCCCTTAGCGCAAACCCTTGGGCGTTGGTGCTCATGGCTCTACCTTGAGCCGCCTCCCCCCACTCGCGACCAGCCCCTTCCCCCAGCAGGTGTACGACGCTGTGCCCTTCCTGACTCGAGACGCCCAACCACCTGGAAGGGATCGCCGACCTTCTCTCTCACACTCCCTGTCTCTCTGCAGCTCTCGCTCGCTCTGCACTCTCCGCCACGTTGCGTCCCCTACACTCGAAGTGCTGCCTTGGCGGTACCTGGCTTTGCTTTCTGAGGTCAGAGTCGGGACTGGCATTAGCATGGCACATGGCGGAGGGGAAGTCTGGGCGGGGCATAGAGAGGCAGGGATCGGTTTGTCCAGGAGCAGTGTACCCTTCGGGCGGTACGTGACGTACAGGGGGCGGCGCGAGCAACGGGACAATACCGGAGTGTATTGGGGTAGGCGGTGCGTGGCGGGGCGGGGCCTCCAAGGCCCTGGGGTGTCGCGGCGGCTACTGAAGGTGCACTGCAGCGGCAGGACCCGGTGGGCGGGGCGGGGTGGTGAAGGTGTGCGCGGCGTGCGACCCTGGCCGTGCCGCACTCGGCATAGCAAGCTCGGCTGAGCTCCGGGTGAGCCCACGAAATATTGAGGCTGAGCGCCCCGGCGGCCCCCGGCCCCGCCCCCGTGCCGCCACGCCCCCGGATAGGAAAGCAGCGCTCGGCACTCAATGCAAGCTGCATATAAAAGGTGTGGCCCCCGCCGGCTTTGCGCCCCTTCTAGGGGGTGAAGGTGAGAGAGAGAGAGAGAGAGAGAGAGAGAGAGAGAGAGAGAGAGAGAGAGAGAGCCGCGGCAAGGACGAGGCACAATGGTTCGTTCGTTAAACTGACG